TCCTCTCTGAGACTTTTTTTAAAGCTTTATTATGAACATAAGACTTTTTTTTTAAATTCCCTACCATTACAGAAGAACGGCAAAAGCTGAATTCTAAAATGCACCTAAAACTAATAATCAGTTTTTCAATTGTGGCTTTGACTGAACTGATATTTCCTATTGTATAACCCAATGACTAGAAAGAGAGAGGTAGCCGAGTTAGTTTTTCCTTTTGTTTTAGCAAGATCAGACTATGTAGCACTTTAAAGACTAACAACATGGTTTAATAGCTCATCACCTATTAAACCATCTTGTTAGTTTTTAAAGTGCTACATCGTTTCTCCTTTTGTTTTACCAATGACTAGAAATGAGCCATGTTCCTCCCCTCTTCCGCACGCTGGCACTGGCAGACAGAATTAGAGCAGGTACGCACATGGCTATGAAAAAATGTTTTCCATGCTAGAAATGAAATTATGTCCACTTAGGATTCAGCCAGATTTCTTTGGCTTTGCTGAGCTCATCCCCTTGACTGTAGTATTCTCCTCTCTATGGAAGAGAGAGAAAGGCAACTGTGCACTGGGGAGCGCCTTGTGCATATAAAAGCCACAGAATGTTCTTGCTTTTAGTAGACTTTGCACTTTTAAAATGTAAATGCTGTGGAAAATATCAAAATTACTGTGCAGCCCCTTTGTGAAATGTCTGCATAATGCTGAACTCCGTTACATCTGCTGTTTGTATAGCATTGCTCTTGATAATTTTCTCTGTCCCTTAGCTCCTGATCTTTGTAGCAGCTGTGCACTGCTAATGACTTCCTTTATTAGTCAGGTTCTATACTGTTGTTTTTTAAGCCTCTAGTATAAAATAATTTGGCACCCCATAACCTTGGGGAGAAGTGGTTTTTGAGAAGGGATTTTGGGGCCCACAAAAATCTTTCTCAACATAGTTTCTTCCACAGCTATTTAAACAAAGGGGCACTGAACTTTTCTTCAAAAAGTGTGTAAAGAAATGAAATAATGATGTTAATGCCAAGGTGCTAAGCTCTTAACTCAGGATCTTTTTTCTGGATGGGAAAAAGTAATAACGCTTTGAGGTTGTGATGGAGCACATGTAAGAAAGTTTATCTTGACTGTGATATTGCGTATGAATGCATTGATTTACATATTGCTGCTTATTAGCACAGGGACATGACAGATTGGCAAACTCTGCAAGACAGTCTCTCAAACCTTGCCACTCTTTAGCTGAGCCTGGCAGAAGGTAAATGCTAAAGCTGTGAGGTGAAGACACCCACTCTGCCTTTTTAACAAACCCCTAGGCTGTGTCTAGACTGGCCAGTTTTTCCGGAAAAACTTGCCAGCTGTCTACACTGGCCGCTTGAATTTCCGCAAAAGCACGGACTTCCTACTGTAAGAAATCAGTGCTTCTTGCAGAAATACTATGCTGCTCCCGTTCGGGCAAAAGTTTTACACAAAAGGGCCAGTGTAGACAGCTCAGATTTGTTTCCCACAAAAAAGCCCCGATCGCGAAAACGGATGCTTTTCCGCAAAAAGTGCTTTTCCGTTAAAAGCATTTCCGGAAAATCATGCCAGTCTAGACATAGCCCTATTGTATGGTTTAATTACATTTGCTAGAATTATGCTGAGAATTGAAGGTCAGTAAGAGTCAGGTCTCTAAACTGCTTAGACATTTTTGTAAAACTCCAGTGGGCACAACTCTGTATTTTAAGGAGCATAAATCCCTTAGTACCTCCCACCCTTGTTCTGTTTTGTAAATGAGATGAATTGCCTACATATATGTGCCTAAACATGGATAACATGACATTATTCTTTCAAAAAATTATTTTACTCTTCAGTCATTGCCGTCAATTGTAGTTAATGTACTTTTCAGAACCTTTTTTTTCTTTATGAAAGTCATTCCTGTGCAAAAAGCTAACAAAAGAACAGTGCATAAGATACATTCCTTTAAAGAGAGAGCTCAGTTTATAGAGAATAACACCTAGACCGGGGGGGCGATCATTTTTGATGGGGGCCACTCCAAGAATGTGGAAAGCGGTCGAGGGCCACACTCTTCCCTGATATTAATGAGGAGGTGCGGGGTCTGGGATAGAGATTGGGTGCAGATGGGAGCTTGGGGTAAGGGAGGGAGTTTGGGGGAAGGAGGCAGTTGTGACCTGGGGCACTGGACTGGGTGCAGGGGGTTGGATTGTGACCTAGGTACAGGAGGGGGTGCAGGGATTTGGGTTGTGAGCTAGGGCAGGAGGGGACTGTGATTTGGGGTGCCGGATCTGGGAGAGGATATGGGTACAGGAGGGGGAGAGGATTTGTGTGTGTGGAGTAGGGGGCAGGAGGGAGGGGGCTGAGGGTTGGGGAAGGGAGGGATTAGGGTGCAGGAGGTAGAGTCTCGCCAGGAGACTTATCTGCCAGCAGCCCGTTCCAGACTCAGCTTCCCTGCCTGCCCCGCCCCTGCACTGGCTGCCCCCAGCTGCCGTGGATGTAACATGATTTTATTTTAACGATTCAATAATCCCAAATGGCTTCTATTGCAGATCAGTATGAAGTAGACCGTGAGCGCGTTGAACTCTGTGTTATGTAGGCACTGATGCTTCATGACACCTGTTGATTAATGTCAAAGGTTATTTCCTCCAAGCCTGCCTCTAATGAATACAAAGCACTGCAGAGTTCAGGATAAAGTAGCTAAGGAAGTGGGAACACATCAGAAGGGGAGTCAGTGGCTGATAAAAGCCTGATCCAAAGGGGGATCCTAAATAAATAGGTCAAAACCCCTTTTACATCATGAGACCAATGGGATGAGGGATATGTTTTCAGCCTTTTTGGAAATGTAGTTCCTACTGAAGTTACTTCAGTTTTTCTTTATTATTTTAGTGAGTTTACCACTAAATAAAATGACAGGATGATGGCTCTGGAGGTTGGAATCCTCAATAATGCTCCTTTCCTGTGTGAAATGAAGTTTTCTGGTGCAACTTTTTTTCTAAAACCAAATTGTCTGTGAAAATTATTCATTTGATTCAAAAGGGTGTTTCTTATGAAAAACAAAAACAAAAAACAAAAAGCCCAGTTCAGATTTTTGCTGACCAAAAAAAAAAAAAAAAACCCCAAGAAAAATTCTGCAATTTTTTTTCATTTACAATTTTCCAGTGAGGGCCAAGAGATTGGTAGATAACACTATTTGCTTTGCTTTTCTAGATTACTTAATACTCCTATTACATCAGTCAGTATAACAATTGTGAGTCCTGCAAAATATGTTACATCTTCAACAATGAACATTGCAATGTTAGCTTTCTGTCTTAACCTCAACAATTATAGGGATGGATTCTTCTCTGATATTTATATGCTCATGTAAATCTACTACTTTCTATTGAGTTGGACCAGATTAAATTGATGTAGCTAAAGGCAGAGTTATTTTAATGCATCATTATTTTATCCATATGTGGAACAGATATTGAGTAAAGCACTATCAGTGGCAAGAGTCATGCAACCTAAGTGTGTGTGCATGCATGCGTGCAGGTATATATATGTAAATATAAAAATAAATAAATAAAATACTCAATTATGCTGCATGAGTCTTGCCATTCATGATTAGTCTTAGTACTGGACTCTCTATGCAACGGATTCATCTTATTTTGCACCCGCAATAAAAGGGGAGTATTTTCTAACTGCCGCAGAAAAAAAATCTGAATTCTACAAACATTTGCTACCTGATGCTATGCTAGGCAGCTCAGACTAGTTTCCAGACCTGGTACACACAAAAGTTCCATAGCAATGAATAGGACTATTCATATGCCAGAAGGAGAGGGGAAAGAGCAGGGCAAACCTTTAAAAGGGCTCTCAGTCCATTTATAGATTTCCTATAATAGTCAGTAGTTGTATTTATAGACAGCAAGCCTTTCTGTCCCAATTGTTGAAATTTTTGACCCTTTAATTTAGGGAGGGGGCAATAATTTTTGATGGCGGGGCACTCCGAGATTTTGGTAAGTGGTCAAGGGCTGCACTTTTTTATGGAGGAGCCACAGGGTCTGGGATGGAGAGATGGAGAAGAGCTTGGGATAGGGGATCGGTGTGCAAGAGAGGCTGTGGGATCTGAGAGGGAGTTTGGGTGAAGGAGGGGATTGTGATCTGGGGGGGCAGGGGATTGGGGTGCAGATCTGGAAGGGGGTACAGGATCCAGGATGGGATATGGGTACAGGAGGGGGAGAGGATTTGTGTGTGTGGAGTAGGGGGCAGGAGTGAGGGGGCTGAGGGTTGGGGAAGGGAGGGAGTGTTATGCCAGAGACAGGCTCTGCCAGGAGACTTACCAGCCAGCAGTGGTTCCCGAATCAGCCTCCCTGCCTGCCCCGCCCCCTGCACAGGCTGTAGCCATGTGCTCTGGAACCCTTTGTGCTTAGTGGCTGCCTGTCATTGAAACAGTCAGCTCCCATTGGCCAGATCCTGGCCACAAACCAGCCAATGGGATTGTGCTGCGGGCAGGAGCAGCTTCTAAAGCTTCCCTCCTCCCCTCAGCACTCTCAGTTTTTAAAGAAAAGCCACCTCCCAGCCACGTTTCTGAGCAGCGTGCGGGTGGGGTGAGGCAAGCAGGGAGCCTGCCTGTGGCTTGGTAGGCCGGATCCGGCCCGCGGGCCGTATTGTGCCCAGGCCTGACCTATACTATAACTTCTGTGAGGACCAGTGGTGCCATTTTGAATTGAAATATTGTTTGAAAACTAAATTTGTCAACATTTTCTGTGGGAGAGAGAAAACCCTAATCTGACCTGCTCTAGTGCATAAGGCTTTCTCTGATCTTCTGTAGCGGGGTGAATTCCACCTGTTCTGGAGACCTAATTCTGTAATCAGAGACCAGGACTTAGTTAACATCCCTGATTTAATCAGAATGTGTCTTGCTGGACTACACTGAAAGATTGCAACAAAGAAATCAAACCACTAGCATATTTCCACAGGCCTACTGTAAAATGAGACAAACAGAATGGTTTTGCATTGATGTGGTTTTCGTCTGAATGCTTTTGTCACTAGGAAGTGCAACGCTGTACAGCCGACATGAACATCACCGCAGAACATTCCAATCACCCCGATAACAAGCACAAAAACAGATACATCAACATTTTAGCATGTGAGTAAGAACTTGCAGTAAATACAGTACTTAAATTGTACAGTGCCCTCTCTCCTAAGAGGGTGAGCGCATGAGTGGGAAAAGCCAGGTTGTTTAAAAATAATTGTAACTGGAGAGGGACAGCAATTAACGATTACAATTCTAGTCTTGTTGCAGTCTGTATGAGTTTTGCCATTGAATTCAATGAGGTCAGGGTTTCATCCACGCTTTTTTACAGGAAGAATATTGACTCTTTGGTGTTAGATATTGCAAATTTAGTATACAAATGTAGCAGTCTGCGTAAGACAATGCAACTGAATAATTAAGATCAAATGACTGCCAGAACTCCATATGCTAATCTCTGAAAAAGTGAATTACGGGAGATTCGTGGTGGATCCAAGTGTTTTATTGATGATCCTTGGGATCTCTTTATCTTCCCAAATATGCTGAAGCCGGCATGGGTATGTCTGTCACCTTTCAAACTGCTCCAAAGGAGAGAGCCACGTGGACAGTCGGTGTTACTTTCAGCGTCCTTTGGAGATCTGTAAGGCCAAAGTCCATTTCAGAACTGCAAATTATTCCAGGTCTGAGATGGGAGATGCATTAACTTTCTCTGTTGTCATCTCTCATGTAGAACTGATGGGAGACTAGCAGTCAACACCTATTTTATAGCAGTACTGCATTGCTGCCCATGTAAAGGTCATAATGCAAAGCATTGCACTCAAGAACACCAAATGCAAATGGGACAAATCCAGCTTGATTTTAATTATATATAAAATACAACCCTCTGACTTACATCCTCTGAGAGGGGGAATGGCCCAGTGATTAAGGTGCCTATTTGGGTCTTGGAAGACACAGGTACAATTCCCTGCTCCGCCACCGATTTCCTGTGTGACCTTGGCCATGTCAATATCTTCGTTCCCCATCTGTAAAATGAGATTAATAGCACAGGCCCAGTGTTGCAAGAATTATATGTAAAACAACAACAGAAAGGAGAATGGAGACACCTTATAAAGACCTTGCCAATACTACAATAAAGGGGCTGTCCTTACATAGGTCCCCCTACTCAGAGCACACCTAGTCTTCCAATTTCATACTTTTTAACAGGGAACTGTCATATACCAAAAAACAACCCTCATTTGTAGTCTGAAGCCATCAGATACAGGAGGGCAGACTCTTCCCCTTACTGTTGCGCTAATGGATTACATGCAAGCAAAGTGAATATCACCTATAATAATCAAGGAAATGGGATGGTTTACCTGCAGATTTTTTTATGTTCTTTTCCTTAGTGCTTCTCTACTGTTTTGTTTTGGTTTTTTTTTCTCCTAGATGATCACAGTAGAGTGAAACTAAGGCCTTCACCAGGAAAAGATTCTAAGCACAGCGACTATATTAATGCTAACTATGTTGATGTAAGTTGTTTGAATATTGTATCTCCTCTCTCATTGCAAATTCATTCATAAAGGGGAAATCTAACCAATTGCTGCTTGTGAAGTGTTTGTGTTTTCTGACTTCTCCTGGACTCCTGCTACAAATGCTTCCAATATTCAGAACAGGAACGTCACCTCGCTTTGTTGCCTGTAAATTATTAACCTGTCTGCCATGCTGCTGCTTTCATCTTACTTGGCATTTTGGTTTTCTTTGAAGGGGTACAACAAAGCAAAAGCCTACATTGCTACCCAGGGACCGTTAAAGTCTACCTTTGAAGATTTCTGGAGAATGATTTGGGAACAAAATACTGCAATCATTATCATGATTACAAACCTTGTGGAAAAAGGAAGAGTAAGGGACCATGGAGCTTATTAACGGTTACCCTTTTTATTTAATACAGTGCATTGTATCCTGCCATCTGATTAACAAACAAACAGAATTTGACCCGTTTGCTTTAAATGCACAGATAACGTATTGCTACACAGTTTATAAATAACACACTAAAGATATAAATTACGAGTCGTGATTTTTTACCCTTCCTGATAATCTCTATGTATGTTTTTGGAACCAAAATAACCCCAACCCATCTAATTCTCCCTTTATTCAGAGAAAATGTGATCAGTACTGGCCAACTGAGAATAGTGAGGAATACGGCAACATTATAGTCACACTGAAGAGCACAAAAATACATGCCTGCTACACCGTCCGCCGTTTCACAGTCAGAAATACAAAAATGAAAAAGGTGAGCAAACCCCCTTGTCATGGAGCCGGATTCACTGCTGCGGCGCCTCGTGCTGGTAGCTCCGGGGAATTAGTCCTTTCATCAGCAGGGTGCCTACTTCGAGCCGGTGTCTCCCACGTCCAGTCTCCACACTCCTAGTCTGGACGATAGGGATGTAAGGAACTAGTCGACTGCTGACTCGATTAGTCGCTTCCCCTGCCCCCCTCAGAGAGAGGCAGCAAGGGTTGGGGGGAGCAGGAGCCAGTGCTGCGGGGAGCCGGCTTAAAAGCTGTTTCCCCCACAGTACCATCTCTGCGGGCGGGTGGGGGAGACAGAGGCTCATTTGCCCAGTCCCCTCCACCTCCTCCCCCGCCGCGCTTGTGCTTTTTAAATGCATTAAGAGCCTAACACCTCTTAAAACATTTTAAAAGCACAAACGCAGCAGGGGGGCTGGCTCTGCAGTTTCCTAAGCTAACCCCACTGCGGCTCTGCAGTTCCCCCCCTTATCAACAAATCGACCAGCCGATGGAAATTCCGTTGCCTAGTCAATTAGCTGATTAAACCCAATTTAACATCCTTAGTCTGGACCCATGTCGCTCCCGGACCACGGCGTCCTCCTCGGGACACTGCCCTCCAGCAGTGTTCACTGAAGTAGCCTCTTGTCCTGTGTTTCTGCTGCCACTGTGGCATCCGAGCCCCGCCCCTATGTCTCAGAAGCAAGCCACGGTCTCAACTGACCACGTCTTGGTGGCAAGGTGTGGAGCAAGGGGGAACCCAGGTCCACCCGCTACTCTGGATCCTGACTCAGGGACCCTCTGGCAGCAGCCTTGTCCTGCCCTCCTCTACTCCCCTTCACTGCCTCTAGTTCCCTGGCCACTTCCACTGTGACTTTTTGCACCCTCCTGGCCCTTGTAGCAAGGCCAGCGACCTGACAGGTATCAGGCTGGAGCCTCCCTCTCTAACCCCCGAGCCTGCCTAGCACTGCTCTATCAAAGCTGCTTCTCTGGGAACATGGCCCTGCATCTTCCCTGGTCAGGGCCTTACTGTTCACTCTCTGCTTGGCAGCTCCTTTTATACAGGGCTGCCTCAGCAACCCATCCTCTGGTTGGCTCTTTGAAAATCTCTCCCTGATTGGCCAGACTCCCTCCAGCCTGCTTTAACCCCTTCCTGCCAGTGTGAGGCAGTTGCCCCACCACAAGCCTCCATTCATGTTAATTTCTTGTGTGGATTGTAGAGTGCAAGCAGCATAGCAACAGAGCCCTGGAGTTGAATGGGAGGCAGAGCTGGGGGAGCAGGGCCACTCTCCGTGTCAGCCTGGCCTGACACTGGCTGGGACATGTTGCTAGAGTTTGAAATAGTTCCATGCTTCTCCTCTCCTAATGTTTCTCTCTTGGTGGGGTACGTTTGATGTGCAGGGTCAGAAGGGGAACCCCAAAGGGCGGCAGAACGAGAGAACGGTTATTCAGTATCACTACACGCAATGGCCTGACATGGGCGTGCCGGAATACGCTCTGCCTGTGCTAACCTTTGTGAGGAGATCGTCAGCCGCCAGGACCCCAGAAATGGGACCCGTGCTTGTACACTGCAGGTATGGCCCTCTGGCTAGCTAAGACATGGGAGGCACACTTTGTACCAGAGGTGGGTTCTTATTAACATGCAAATGCAATAGCTTACTACACACACGAATTCAAAGCAGAACGAAACTCATCCCAGTGCAAAGCTTTTGAACCACTTCATCCCATTGGGTGTAAGTGATGCATAACACGTATGCAGTGTGCCTGCATTGAATGAATTTGAAGTGCAAACAAGGGTGCTGGCCCATGGTATGTACAACACCATGTACTTGCTGTTTGCACTGGACATTACTAAGGTATGTTTAAAAGGTTCCAGCCGTCCAAACAGGGAGTAGAAATGATATCATGGATCTGTAGGCTGACCAGTCCTGCTCTATGAATGAAGATGAATCAAAGATCCAGTCAGGGAAATAGTTTGCAAACCACCCATGGACTGAAAGATGTTTCTCCCAACAGTTTGGCAAACGGTTATTGGCAAATACCCTGTTTGCAGATAACTTTTCATACAGAAAAAGCACTGTGGCTACAGTTTACACTATGAATAGCACATCCAGTGCTAGTTACGGGGGAACTCTCACAGATGTTGAGGTCAAAATAACTATCATGTAACCAGAATGATCCACTCGTCTGACTTCCTGCACAGAATCTCACCCACAATCACTGATGTTAGCAATTGCACTCAGCAGGGGGCATTGTTACAGATGCCCTCAGAAGGAAGCTAGAGAGGGGAAAGGAAACAAATATTTGGAAAACTAGCTAAAATAAGCACACATTTTAATGTGATAAAAATCCTAGAATGCATGTAGCATGTTACTTAAAGACTTCAATGATCAGGAGGGTCAAGATATTGTAATAAAATTCGGGGACAGAAATGTAGGAACTCTGATTTGCTATTGCTAACGTTTTATTTAATACATATGAATTATCAGTGTTTCTTTCATGTCCTTTGTAGTGCTGGTGTGGGCAGAACTGGTACCTACATTGTGATAGACAGCATGCTGCAACAGATAAAAGACAAAAGCACAGTTAACGTCCTAGGTTTCCTGAAACACATCAGGACACAGCGCAACTACCTCGTTCAGACAGAGGTAAAGATGGGTGTGATACTGAATTTAAAGCAGTGTTCATTTTTATGGTGTGATCTAAAAGGAAATAGGGTTTTCAGTTACTTCTCTCTAAATGTGGATTACATTTCAGCAGGTGTTTGGTGAATTGGAATGTCTTTTTTCAAGGCTGTAAACTTTTGAGTCCTCTCTTGGCATTTTAAGTGTTTTCTAGATTATACTCATGAATGTATACACTAGCCTGAGCAGTGTTTATAGACCGAGCTTGTTTTAAAAAGGAAATGTAACTCTTTCCGTAAACGTGCTATGCGCCTTCATTAAAGACTCTGCTTGGTGTAATTTTCTCCTAACTCTTAAACTGCTTGCTTTTGCCTTTCTAGGAGCAGTACATTTTTATTCATGATGCCTTGTTGGAAGCCATCCTTGGGAAGGAGACAGAAGTATCTGCCAACCAGCTGCATAGTTATGTTAACAGCATTCTCATACCTGGAATAGGGGGAAAGACACGACTAGAGAAACAATTCAAGGTAATGGTTTATCAGGCACCAGGAGTAATTTCATGCACACGCTCACTTCTATCTTTTTGTCACATAGAGAGTCTTTGCTAGCATATCTAATAAGTAAAACTGGAGGAACCTAACCAAATAGCTAGGTTCCAACACCCCTGAATTTTGTAGATGTTTCAAAATGAATGACATTTGTTACAATTATGTAAATCGGGACTAACACTATTGAAGTCAGTGGAGTTATACTAGCATAAAACCCTAAGCCCTGGTCTAGTCTAAGACTTTATTTTGAAATAACTTTCCCTCCCCTAGTTGAATTTATAAGTGGAATGTCCACACTACCAAGCCCATGTTTTTGAAATAACAGGCCGCGGAATTAGAAATCTGTACTTTTTTTTTTTTTTTTTTTGCTTTTCAGGAGTAACACTAATTCTGAAATAGTTATTTCAAAATAGCAGTAGTGTGGATGTGCCGGTGCTACTATTTCAAAATAACTACTCCCCAGAGTAATTGGAATTAATTACAGCCCAGTGCTTCCTGGGGCTCTAAGTCTGAGGTAGTGTTATCTATATTAACAGAGCCTGCCTCAAATGAATTTCAAGGCATTCCTATAGTATGGACTCACTATTTCAATTTTGTTATAAATTGGGAGTTACGTTGAATTTACTAATTTCCTTGTGTAGACATGGCCCAAGTGTCCCATTATAAAATCAGCCGTCCATACATTTAACACTCAAAAGCTAAGTATGGGACACTTCTAGCCCACTCAATTAGTCTCATTACCACCGGCACTACGATTGACAGGTACTTTTTTTGCTCTCTCCTTTTTCTGTTATTAATTCTGGGTTCCCATTTTTTCCACTCCCGCTCATCTGAAGAAGTAGGTTTTGCACATGAAAGCTCATGATACTACATATATTTTTGTTAGTCACTAAGATGCCACGGGGTTACTTGTTTTTTTAGTGTAACATTGGTGTGACATGTGAATTGGATGCTCACTTGAACTATGCTGCTGACCCCCCGCTCTATAAGGAGCTCGAACCAAAATGCTGACTCCAAACGCTTCTGAGATTTGAATAGTTTTAGATCTAGATCCGGATCTAAACTTGGTGTCTCAGACTCATCTCTGGTGAAAACAAATGGAAATTGTGACATTAGCACAATTACAAACCGCAGTATTGTACATATGGGATAAACTAGTTTTCTTGAGACTCTAAAAAGAAACTGTGACTCTGTCATTGCATATAGCTGTTGCTTTTCCAGTAATACATTGCAGATAATTTGTATCTCTAAAAAAAACCCTGTTTGCCAGTTTCTCACATTTAAGAATTAAATGCTTCCAGTCATTTCAGATTTTCTGATTACATTTTAGATACACATTTAAAACTTTGCGCTATTGCGTATCATTATGTGAATCTGCGCAGAACCTACTTTCACAATTAAGCTCCCTAAAACAAACACCAGCTAAGGACATGAAACTGTTAAACAAATTACACCAGGTGCCAAATGATTCAAAAAATGAATAGGCCTTTTTCGGAATTCACTAGTGAGACTCCCTGGATTTCTGTAGCATTCGCAACATTCCAGATGCTTAACAACCAAATAGAAAAAGTCTGATTTTTTTTTTCTCCAAATGTGCAATGTTTTTTGAAGTGCAAAATAATAAATATAAAAATGGTTTTTAGGGAGTGGTGGCAACAAATTCAAAAATACTGAAGGGTATGTCTACAATGCAATAAAACACCCAGGGCTGGTCTGGGTCAGCTGATTCAGGAACAGGGGGCTTGGTTTTCAGGCCTATAAAATTTCTGTGTAAATGTTTGGGCTTGGTCTGGAGCCAAGGTTCTGGGACCCTCACTTCTTGCTGTGTCTCGAAGGCCAGACTTCAACGTGAGTCTGAACCTCTGCACTGCATTTTATAGCTCCACAGCCCAAGCCCGAGTCAGCTGACCGGGTCTAGCCGTGCATGTTTAGTGTAGACTGGTGGTTCTCAAAGTGTAGTCCATGGACCATTAGTGGTCTACAGCCATCTTGCAGGTGGGCCATGGGCTCGGGGCTCATCCCACTCCTGCAGCGGGGAATCTGCGCTGGCGCTCCAGCCCTGCACTCCTCCTCTCACAGTGAGGTTGGAGCACCAGCGCTGGCTTCCTGCTGTGGGGGGCGGGGCAAGTGGGGGAAGGAAGCAGCTCCGTGTGCTGCCACTCTTCCCCCTGCTTGAGGGAACTGTCACCTGGAGGGGGAAGCCCAGAGCCAGGTAAATGCCTTCAGCCAAGGCCCTATGTCCCTACCCTGCTCCTGCACCCTCCCTTTCACCCAGATTCCCCCCCAGCCTGCTCCTGCACCCTATCCCCCAGCCAAATCCCCACCCCCAGTCCACTCCTGCACCCTGCCTCTCCACCACTTCCTGCACCCATTTCATCATCAGGAGTGGTCTGCAGAAAGGTCTGCGTTGAGCAGAGTGGGCTGTGGGCCAAAAAGTTTGAGAACCCCTCCTGTAGGCACAAGTGTCTTTGCCACCTAATTCCCATTTGCAAAAGTGACTTAGGTGCTTTGAGACTCCAAAGGGTCAGTTGGAGTCTCAAACACTTCAATAAGTTAGGTACCTAGCTTGCTTTGGAACTTTTAAAAATGGGACTCCTAAAGGTATGGCTACACTTCAGGTAGCATGAAGAGCAGAAATACTGCATTCCCAACCACTCTTAAGTGGTAGTGTAGACAGCGAGGTCTACCTTAAATGAGTGGCATGCCCTACACAGCTGATCTGTGGGTGTAGGTGTGTGTATCTCCTACACTGCTCTCTACACATTCTAGCAGCCCTTCTCATATTGACACTGGTACTTTTAGCAGTGCAGAGTCTGGCTCTGGCTCCAGGAAAAATGCTCTGGTAGAGCCTTTTCCCACTGCTTTCCCCCACTGGAGCTTTCCGCTGCTGCATGTAGCCACAGAGTGTAGTGATCAATGTGGACACAGCTGCCTGCCCCAGTGGTGTGTAGTGACATGCCTAGTATCTGTACTCTACCCACCATCGGAAGTGCAGACAAGGCATACGGCACTTTTGTATATTTGAAAATGTTACCCTTGGTAAATACTGGCAGCTATTCAAAGTTACTTGGAGGTTTGGAATATCAGTAGGGAAGGAGGGAGCATTTGATGTGAGTTTTAAACAAAGAAGGAAACCTTTGATAGGGTGTTTTTCTAGTTCTTTTTTTTTAATAGTGGCTGCTTCAAGTTTGCTTAGCAGTTTGTAATAGTCTTGATGGGGATGGAATAGTGCAGGTAACGAAGGTTGCTAAATGCTATTTTATTACAAGGTTCTACAGTTTGTCCCAAGGGTCCACCAATTCGCATATGACTAGAGCTACCACGCATGGTGGATTAGCCTCTGGGCCACGGGGATTCATGCTCAGGAAGCCCTCATGCACCACCGAAGGAGCGCTGGATGGTGCTGGGCAAGTCCCTGCATCTCAAATGTCCATTGTATAGCTGATAGAGGGAGGGATAGCTTTGATGAAATTGTTAAACTGCTCTTCTCTTGTTGTTATTTTAATGAGTAGAGCTGGTCAAAATTTTTTAT